TGGAATAAAATACTTGAATCGCATTAAAATAAGGCAGTATGATGAATAATAAAGTCAATGGGTGCCTTACTGTTTCATATATTGAAGAATGAGTGAGGAATTCCAGTCTAATTAGGGTGATATCTCTGCAAAAGATATTCATCAGAGTAGTAAATGAGCTGCTAAATAAATCTTTTTTTGGAGATTTTTTCCATTTGTTACAATTATGTTTTTGGACTACATTTAAGTTATAATTTATAAATGTCCTTTTATATCTGAATTGATAAGGGGTCTATTTATCAGAAGTATGCATATTGCACTGAGTCAACGATAATGAATAGTGATTGCAAAAGCTGCATGCCCCTTGTTCATGTTTTTGAGCATTGTCGGGCTAAGATTATAATTACAGCATCTGCTGGTACTGGAGAAGTTAGAATTGAATATTTACATTGATTGATGTTTCATGTGGGTGTAAATAAAAATTTTCCTTTTCTTCAGGCTTAAAACATATCATTCACTTTTGTTCTTCCAATATCCTTATACCTTTTGTCTACACTTTCAGTTACTTAATTGCATCAATGGGACTTCAAGTGCTCTGGAGCTTTGGGCTTGCATGTCTTGACATTTATGCTGTGAGGAGAAAGAGAGACCTTCAAAATGCAATCCTTGTCAGCCTATTTGTTGTGGGTGACTGGGTAATAATCAATCCAATTTCCTTATCTTTCTATCTTCCTGAGGAGGAGAAGTCTATAAGCTTTTTGTAGAGCTAGATTAAAGCAAATATATGACTAATCTTATCATTTGTATCACTTATTCTGGATGGACTGGAAAATTAATGTACTGTAGCAGGTAAATCATTGAAATAACTGTTAGTTGGCTTGCTGGACTAGCAAAATTTAGAAGATAGGCTCTACATTGTAGTTCTCTGAGCTCTTTTTTTCAGTCAGCAACTAATGGATCATTTTAGAAACGTCACCTAGAAGTAATTGAGGACTTTGAAGCAAAACTTTATTGCTTCTCCATCATCCATGGAGAAGGCAGAGCAGTCCTCTATGTGATCTAGTTAATGGTTGTGAGGGACATTGTCAGTTTTTGGCCCAGAGTTGATAAGACCCATGCCTTAGTGCAAGAATTAATTTTATGCTGATGGTATCGTTATATAATCTTTTTCGACTTTCTTCCTCAATATTGACTATTGGGGAAACTTTTCCCCCTCCATGTTCTAGTTCTGCTACATTCGAATGGCAAAAGGGCAACAAAATTTAAGTCTCTTGTCAACTACCTTGATGAAACATTTTGGCGGTTGTTAGATATTAGAACAACACTACCAGTGAGCTTGCACATGAGTTTTTGAGTTGAAATGGTTTTGGCTTAATATCAGAGTAATTTTGGCCAAGTGGTACAGAGTTTGATCACTCCTGCCTCTAATTCTTACAATTAAAATTAAGTCTTAGCATATGGTATGATAAACCTGCTTTGCCCATGTTTTAAGTCGTGTGTATATTTGTGTGATGATTAGAAATTATGGCAACATTATTCACAGTCCTTCACTTGAACATTTGAGTTGAATCCGTTAGCTGTTTCCTTCTGATGATAGTGATTTATGAAACGCAGGTAACGGCTACTTTATCATTGGCAGCTGCATGCTCGTCAGCAGGAATCGTAGTCCTTTATTCTAAAGACCTGGAATTCTGCAAGGCTCAAAAGAATCTGCCTTGCAGAAAGTACCAGATTTCTGTAGCCATGGCTTTTATCACCTGGGTTTTTACGGCAATCTCTTCACACGTGATGTTTTGGATCTTAGCCTCTGTGTAGCTTCACCTATTTCCCTTGCCACAGAGATGAGTAGATGACTTGCGCGCTATAGTGTCTTTGATTTCTGTTGTATATTTTGTTCCATGAATAGATAATTGAACGCTGTAAATTTTGCTGTATCAGTATCTTACCTTCACATAATAGCGAAACTCTTTGGAAAAAGTAAACTAAACCAATCACGAAGAGATATATAGACATGTTAAAGGTTAGTTTTATTTAGAAGTCAGCCTGGCATGTATCTATATCTATTCATTATTAGTTTAGTTTACGTATTTCTTTTGTAGATTGTGTTTGAAAAACAAAAGAGGTCAGATTCTTCCATGACCCCCGCCAACTCAATCATGATGTTCGTTATTTAAAGACAATGATTTTTCCCCCCCTTACAGCACGTATTTAAGAATGTGAACTCTATATATTCACTAAAGTAAATATATAATGTATTTGCAAAAATTATTTTGTTTTCAATGACAATACAACCATTTTGCCCTCCATTAGCACTTTGTCTGGGGACGAGTGGCCAATAAGAAGCAGCTCATTGTTTTTTAATCTCTGGTCTCTTCCCATAACCAGCACACCAAATCGTTATCAACTACCAACCACCCAACCAAGGCCTACATTGGACTTGACGGAGGGGTTGAATCAGGACGTGTTCTTATTCATGCCGGCATATCAGTAGAGTCAGGGTTTATAAGAGGAGGGTTGTGATTGAAAAGCATGCGTCATATAGAGTTTACATAAAATTTGATGGCTGAGAATGTATAATACTATTTTCGGTCTTTAATATAAAAACTAGTTAACTAATTTGAATATATTAAAGAAATTAGTTAAGTTAGATATTTATAATAAATAGATGTTTTCTTTTCTAAAATACCATTGCTAATTAAGTGTATTAGCTAAACTATCATTTAACAAGACTTTTAATATGTGCAGCTACTACAAAGACTATCTTGAAAAAAATGAATAAATATGAAAGACAAAGTGGATTGGGATATTATATTTATGATTAATTAAAAGTCAAACTAGCTTTTACTCCCTCCATACCTTATTATAAAATCCAATTTTTTGAATAGTTTTGTCCCTTTTTATAAGATTCTTTTTGAGTTTGTCTGAATATTTAATATATTATTACCTATTTTACCTCTAGTTTAATGCATTTAATATATTCTCTTTTTTCATTTATCTCACTATTACTCTTTCACATCTACTCATTCATATTTAGGGGTATATTTGAAAAAAAATTGCATTTGCTACATATTAATTACTTTTATGGTGTGTTTGGTACGAGGGATTTGGGAGGGAGGGGAGGGATTTTAATCATTTTCCCTTGTTTGGTAACACACAAATTTTAGGAGGGGAGGGAAAATTTTTTTAAATTTCCCCTCCCCTCCCCTCTTCAACCTCCCCTCCAAAATTAAGAGGATTTAGAGGGAAAGAGTAATATTTTGTCATATTATGACCATTATGCCCATATTTTGTCATGTTGTGACCATTATGTCTATATTTTGTCATGTTGTAACCATTATGCCCATGCCTTAAATAAAATAAGAGCAAAATTATCCATATTAAAATATTTTTCCCTCCCCTCCCCTCTTTTTTTATAAATCCAAACAAGATAATATTAAAATCCCTCCCCTCCCCTCCCCTCCCCTCCCCTCCATTAAAATCCCTCCCCTCCCCTTCCTCTCATTGAGCCAAACATACCCTTAAGTAATTTTAATTGTTTTCCTAAACTGCACAATTTAAAATCTTATAATAAGAAACGGAGTAGTATATTAAGGATCGGAGGCAATACTTGCATAATACTCCATCTAGTCTTTCAATGAAGATTTTGACACCATTTTTTCCTTTAAAATCTATAATTTTTTCTTAAACTTTTTCTATTAATTACTTATATTAAAGGAGTTTTTCACTTAAGTAAGCAGTTTTCTAATGCGAATAATTAAAAAGACACTTTAAGAGTGTGTTTAGTACGAGGGATTTGGAGGAGAGGGGAGGGGAGGGGAGGATTTTAATTATTTTTCCTTGTTTGGCAACACACAAATTTTAGGAGGAGAGGGAAAAGTTTAAAAAAAACTTTTCCCTCTCCTCTCCTCCTCAACCTCCCCTCCAAAATTGGGAGGATATGGAGAGAAAGGGTAATATTTTGCCATGTTGTGACTATTATACCCATATCTTAAATAAAATAAGAGTAAAATTGTCCATGTTAAAATATTTTTCCCTCCCATCTCATGAATCAAACAAGGTAATATTAAAACTCCTCCCCTCCCCTCCCTTTTTATAAATCCAAACAAGATAATATTAAAATCTTTTCACTCTCCTCCCCTCCCCTTCCCCCCGTTAAAATCCCTCTCCTCCTCTTCTTCTCATTAAGCCAAGCAGACCCTAAGAGAGATCAACATACATTTGTTTTTTGCAATTATTAACTAAATTAGATAATTTTTTTAATTTTTAAAAATCAATTACCTAACTCCTGCATTATTAAGAAAAATTAAAAATTCAGGTCACTCATTCTCTTCCTCCCTCCGCCATAGATATTGAGTGCAACTTCTGTGGGATATACTATTACCTAAATATTTTAAAAGAAACTTATTGAAGTATAACATGCAAAATCTTTTGTGAAAGTGATTAATTCATAACTAGCTCTGCAAAAGATACAGGGTGTGTTTGGGTGACACCCCAAACCATGGTTTGGGGTGTCAATCACCCAAACACCCCCTCTAAAAACCAAAACCATGGTTTTGGAAAAAGCAAAATTTTTTTGCTTTTGGAGAAAAAAGGGAGAATGTGAGAGCCTATATGATATGTATCTTGTTATTTTTTTTATAAACATATTTTTTGATAAACATATTTAATCTTATATTTTATAAATATACATACACATTAATTATTTATTAATTATATTATCTTATGTATTATTAATTATGTTGGTAAAAAATATATTATTAACAATTTTATTCCTTCAAATTAAAATATATTATAAAATCTATTTTTTCTGTAATTATCATATTAACTTATGTCTTTTTTTTAGTAATTTGTATATATAAAAAGTGCTTCTGATAACAACTATCCAAACACTCTCACTTCTCAGAATCACTTTTTTACAAAATCTATTATTCACAGAATCTATTCTCTACAGAATTTATTCTCCAGAATCACTTTTCCAAACCACGGTTTGGTTTTATCCAAACACACCCATAGACAGACATCTACGTTTTGGGGACATCACTGGTAAGAATACTAATAAGGTACTCAATCTCGTCGGAAACTTCCTTCATGGGAGGCCGATTATGCCTCTGCTCATCCAAGCAAGCCACTGCAAGAAACCCCAGAGACTTCATCGTCTCCAACTCCAAGTTGGTCGCTCCGTCCGTCAACACCGGATCCACCATGTCCAGAAACCTCTCTTCCTTTATCATCTTCTTCCCATAAACCACCAAGTTCACATTCTCCTCTTCCCTGTTAAAATCAATCGCCTTCTCACGCGTCAGAATCTCCAACAAAACCACCCCAAAGCTATACACATCACTCTTATCAGTAAGCTGAAAATTCCGATAATACTCAGGGTCAAGGTACCCTAAGGTCCCCTGTGCACTGGTGAAGATGTGGCTCTTATTTGCCTCAGCTATCTCAACAAGCCTAGACAGCCCAAAGTCTGAAACTTTGGCATCAAGCTTATCATCTAACAGTATATTGCTTGATTTTACGTCCCTATGGTATATGGGAGGCAATGCAGAGGAGTGAAGATAGTAAAGAGCCTGAGCTGTTTGGTGAGCGACTTTGAGCCTGTGAAGCCACTGGAGAGGGGGATCAAAACGGTGCGTGTGGAGGTGGTCGAAGCGTCCCTGGAGGGGTTGGTAGTCTAGTTCGACACAACAACCGAGGAGGCGGACGAGGTTACGGTGGTTGACTTGGCAGAGGATTCGAACCTCGTTGAGGATTTGGTCGAGGGCTTTGGTGTTGCCGAGCTTGGCTCGTTTAATGGCTACGACGGTTCCGTCATCGAAGGTCCCTTTGAAGACCTCGCCGAAGCCGCCGGTGCTGATGAGGTTGTCTTTGGAGAAATTGTTGGTTGCCTTCTTGATCTCTCTCATTGTGAAGATCCTGGCCGATAATCCACAGTTGGCTTTTGCGTTTAAGATTCGTTCTTTTTGCTTCGTTAACTTCCTTTCGGCTTGTTTCTTTGACTTGTCATACTTCTTGTATAGAAAAATGCTCACTACCAGTGCAATGAATACTATTGCCCCCAAAGAACCTCCGACAGCTGAAGAAAACAAAACCCCGCGTATATGCCATAAATTTAAAGGTATGAAAGAGGGATGAATTTGTATATATTCCTCCAATACTTAATATAGGATCCAATTTTTGAGTTGGTTTTAGTCCTAAATATAAGACATATTTCTCATATTTATTAATTTTCTCTAAATTACCATTTATGAATACTCCCTCAACCATAATTAAGTAGAGGAGGGAGAGAGGCTATTGATAAAGATGATTATGGTATTTTAGGAAAAACGTGTCACGTTTCTTATAATTAACTAACTTACCTAACCTTCTTAATCTAATCAAATTAGTTAAATGGGTCTTATATTAAGGACCGGAGGAGTACACATATATATGTATGGGGTAAGGGATAAAGAAGGAGAAAGCTAAGAGATGGACAGCCCTACATGTTAACTCAAAACTCGGATTAAGTTGTCTTTCACTTTTTTTTTTTTTTACATATTACTACCTATGGTTCTAATAAGAACTAGTTGACTAATTTGAAAATATTAAGAAAAGAAGTCAAGTTAGTTATTTATAATAAATAAGTGTTATTTTTTGTAAAATATCCTTGTTAATCAAATATATTGACTAAAACTACCATTTTTAAAAAGACTATGGAAAAAAATATATAAATATGAGAGATAAAATGGATTAGGGTCTTATATTTAGGACCAAAATAAAATTCAAATAAGGTCTTATACTACCTCTGGTTCTATTTATAAGACTTAGTTGACTAATTTGAGAAAATTAAGGAAATAAATTAAGTTAATTATTTGTAATAAATAGGTATTGTCTTTTCTAAAATATCCTTACTAATCAAGTATATTAGTTAAAACTAATATTATTAGAAGGACTATCTTGAAAAAAAATACATAAATATGATAGACAAAATAGATTGGGGTCTTATATTTAGGACTAAAATAAAAGTCAAACAAGGTCTTATATTAAGAACCAGATATATTATTTATTAAGCTCAAATACTTTATTTGATATGAGACACATCTCACACTTGAGCACCCTAATATACGCAAATAGATAAAAGAGGTTTAATTTATTTATTACATCACGTACCAGCGAGGGGCGTGGCCTTCTTCTTCTCACCATGACCAGGCTTGCATGGTTTGCCTTTTCTACCATCACGACTTGGGCACGTTACTTCTACAGGTTTGCATGGTGGATCACCTTTCCTGCCGTGTCTTGGGCAGGCTACTTCTACGGGTTTGCATGGTTCACTACCTTTTCTACCATGCGTTGGGCAGCTTACATCTAAATGTTGTAAGGAGAAAAGACAATGTTATTAACAGGAATTCACATTGACAAAAGAAATCCTAAGCATTGATTCTTCATAATTAAAGATCTGAACATAATGTTACATTAAGAAAACATGACAGGATAATCAACGAAAATTATTGCCAGTCCGAGTTAATAATACCGGAAAAGTTATATTTAAACTTTAAAGGCATTTTTTGGGGGGGGGAAAATAACATTTGCTTGCATGATAACTTTTTTAATATGTCATACTATTATCTCCGAAAAGAAATATTTGCGTGATTTTTGGAATTGATTAATTTTTTTTACTTTTGACATATAAATAAGAACTTCACTTAAAATAACAAGCTTCCATTGCATCTTGATTTAGTTTTACAATATTAATGTTTATTGAAACAACTTCTAAATCTAGAATTATTTATAAAGAGATATTTTAACACAAAAACTTAAAATAAATTAAATAATAGAGAAAATCGTTCAAGAATAGCGCTTTTCAAGATTTATTAGCAAAGGTATCTGAAAACTCAGATACAACCTATTTTTAGTTGTGTGCGCGACATAACTTCAACTATGCATAAAAAAGAAAGATATTTATACATAATTAAAAATATGTTGCACATAATTGAATACGAGTTTCGCCTATCCAAGGACATGATTGTTTCAATGCCTTTGAGCAATAAATTTTGCCATGAGAAATTTTCAATAATTTTTCCTTAAAAATTTCGCTATAAAATTGTTTAAAAACTTTTCACTTACCTTTTGGTTGATGATGACCAAGTTGACACAGTCCATTGCTAGGGTCCCACTTGAAGCCAGCATTGCAAAGGCACTTCATTCGCCGAGCATTGGTCGGATCCTTCAAGCATTTGGAGTTCAACAGCTCCTTGCAATCCTTCGGGCCCTTGCAAACGGGCTCCACCGGTATTTCCCACTCCAACTCTATTCCCAGCTCCGGCCACCTATTCGGCGGCGGAGCCACCGCCACATTGAGATTTACAAAACTCTGATATGCAGCACAGTCTCCTTCATGCACCCTTATCATGTACTCCGAGAAGGGCTTAACGGTCCTGAAGCTGCAACATAACCCTGCGTTTTTGCACGCGCCGCCGCCGTCTGCATGATCCTTAATGTAGCTATGACACAGATCATTCGGTGAACAGTCCAACGGTGGTTTTGATCTCGGCATCGCGTTCGTACAGTTGTACAGAAAGACGGTATTATCGCCGGTCATTTTAAAAGGAAGGGCTTTGTTCAGTTGTATGCCTTCGTTGCGGAAGTCGCCGGACACACACGTCCACGGGGAGATGCTTGCGGGTCGTATAATGATCCGGCGAGTCACCGGATTGATGGACTTTATCATGTAAGATGATCCACTGAGATCGTCAAACCACAACTTGCCTTTTGTGCACTTCATACTGTACATCGGATGGCCACAGTCGGGTCCCGTGCTTAATGGGTATGGAACCGGATTTGACCCGCAGTTGCGGCAACGCCGTGGGGTGCCAGCGGCACAAGATAGTAGCACCGCCATCGTGAAGATTAAGGTTATTGCAGGAACCCTCTGTTGCACCATTAGAGAGCAAACTGTAGAATGAGAATTGGCTGGCGTACATGGAAAGACGGAAACGGGATTATAATTATAATACTGAAAATCTTTGCACGAGAGTAACTAACTCAGGTGAGTGAGGCGACCCAAATTCTTCTGATATGACCCAAAAGGAAAAAAAGAAAAAAGAAAATACTATACGAAGCTTCTGTAGAGACCTTAAACTAATATTTCAGACAAGAATTTTCACAGACTGTTGAAGGCACGTTGCCTAGGATGCCATGTAGGGAATAGGGAATAATCAAAAAGAAAATATATGTTGAATCCTATGAAGATATTGGAGCTGTACTTGGCGTTTCCAAATTAAGTTGCTAAGTAATTTGAATGATCAAGGGCACCAATAAAAAGGACTATATTTGTGCATGACTTAGCAAAGAAGTGACGTTCAGCTGAAAGCATTGCATGTGTCTTATTTAGGTTTTCCCAAAGCGTATCACGTTCTTCCAAGGAGGATATGCATATGCTTTGACAGCTTTATGCACTCTTATCATTTTTTTTTTTTGAGTAAAATGCACTCTTATCATTAATATAAGAGCTAGTTGACTAATTTGAGTTGATTAAAAAAATTAGTTATATTAGTTATTTATAATAAATAGGTGTTGTTTTTTCTAAGTATCTTTGCTAAGCAAGTGTACTAGTTAAAACTACTATTATTACGAGGATTATTTTGAAAAATAACAAATAAATATGAGATACAAAGTAGATTGTAATTTTATATTTATGATCAAAATAAAAATTAAACGAGTTCTTATGTTAAGAATAAAAGGTACTATAATGTTCTATGAACCATATATGAGGAGAGGTTGATTCATTATTAATTAATTGTATAGCTAATATTAGAGTGAGAGTGTGAGTTCATCATCAGAAGTCCCATTTTTGAGAATTTCAGGAACTGCACGATCCAATGTTCCCCAGCTTCGAGATCAAAAGATATCTTAATTTTGTGGATTTTGTCCCTGAGTCGGTAGTTTCTATGTTGGATTTCAGTGAAAGGCGGATGATTTCACATGAGTCATCAGTATCATGACATGTGCTGTTATTTGAATGGACAGTGGCTGTGGTAACTGTACGAAGAAAGCATGTAGATCATCGTATCGGCGAATGCAAACTTCTCATACCTCTATGATATCCTCCGAGCATAATGGTTTTTGACTTTTTGAGTTTTCAATTACTACTTCTTCATGTCCAATTGACTTACCATTTTTTCATTTGGAAAATATGCACTAAAGCTCGAGTTGACACTTCGCACTATAAACTCTCTTTTACAAATGGTGCTTCTTTTCATAACCTTCATTTTTCAGATGCTATATCGAGAAGAGCGATTTAAAAATCTCAAAAATAGAGTTGGATCGTTTTGGGACAAAGTAGAGAACTTTTGGGATTTTGAATACAAGAAAAATTTACTTGGTTGATACTGTTGCGAGATTGTTAAATTGAAGGGTGAGCAAGGAATATTTCTTAGAGTTTGGAATATACCCTATACCAGTTTCCTAAAATATGATGAAATAGGTAAAATATTCTAAAATACTATCTCCAATCCTTAATATAAAATGCAATTGACTAATTTAGAAAAATTTAAAAAGTTAAATAAATTACTTAATTATAATATATGTTATATGCATAGTTTCTCTGAAATACTTATATATATTATTATATTATGTATTACTTTATCAGTCAAACAAATTAGTTTAAAAAAAGATGATAAATATAAATATTTTAAAGTAATGTATTTAAATTCTTTAATTTTTTTTAAATTAGTCACCCATATCTTATATTAAGAACTGATGGCAGTATCGGAGATTACCCCTTTCCTCTCTCTCTCTCTCTCTCTCTCTTCTTGTATGGTGCATCTATTGTACCACTATGGTTTACACTCTAAAGTCCTGTTTGGTACGAAACATTAAAAATAAGGGATAGAGATTGTGATTACAATTTAAAAAATCATTAAAAAAGTCTTTAGCATGAGTAATTATTTGTTACATGAGATTATGCAAACTCATGGAAGTATGATTAGGGAATACCACTTCCCCTATGGTATTCCTCAATCTCACATATATAGATTTATTTAATCCCACGTAACAAGCAATCTTTTATACTAAATACTATTTTTTCAATCTCAATCCTAATCTATATCCCTCATTTTCAATGTTTTGTATCAAACGGTACCTAATAGTTGGCTATTTCATTTCTAGTCACCAGTAATCAGTAATCACATACCTTTTGAAGTCCCAATACACAACATAACTCGACGTATTAAGTGATAAGTAGTCGAATCGTTTTCATTGTACGTAATTGCAAATTTTTTGTTATATTAATTCTCGATGCATCATAAACTTTATGACTTGATGTTTATAAAACAAGAAAAATAATTAATTAAAGAACAGCAAAATGCTGCATTTTTCGCAATAAGCCAGATACATTAGCTTTATTGGAACCTATAGGGCTATTTCGCTTTCTTCGCCGATTTTATAAAGCACACGTCTCCTCTCTTATTATGTATATGTAAAACCATAAAAACTTCATAATTTTATTCAGAAAGTAAACGTAATATTGTGGGTCAAGATAAAGCAAGGTTCCTTTTACTACACGTTGCGATGGGACTTGGTGGAACTATCTGGAAACCCCATAAAAGATAAACTTGTGCATTAAGCTTAGGGAGATAATAATTAAGGAAACTAGTTAGATTTTTTTTCATACAAAAGAATTAGATGAACTGCGTCCCAAGTATTTACTAAGATGAAGGCAAATCTTGTGCCTTAAATAATATTTATGGGAGTACTTATATATTATCTATTAATACCATATCCAACCTCAAAATTTGAAACTATATCCTTGTAAAATATTAATTGTATTCTTACTTTTATTAGCCGCTAGTTTGTTTTCTCAATATGTAATTATGTTTCGTTTAGTGCACGAGAGCGAAATTCTATAATTTAAGAGATGTGTGTGAATATTTTTCATAAAATGATCCATAATCAGTTTATCATACCAAAGTATGATATCGCATAAATATTTGATATTATTTTTTATTCCAAGATGTTAACAATTTTGAATTTAGATCTTAAAAAATATTCTAGTGGATTAAAGGTCTAATAACAATGAATATATCAATAAATCATACTACTTCCGGTCCTAATTATAAGAGCCAGTTGACTAATTTGAAGAGATTAAGAAAGTAAGTTAAGTTAGTTATTTGTCCTTAATAAGTCTTATCTTTCCTAAAATCATTACTAATCAAGTGTATTGATTAGAACTCTTATTATTAGAAGGGCTACTTTGGAAAAAATGTATAAATATGAGAGACAAAGTGGATTGAGGTCTTATATTTAGGACCAAAATAAAAGTCAAACATGGTTTTATATTAAGGACCAAAGGTAGTAGGAATATATAGTTGATTTGAATGATTTGTTTTGAGAAAGCCAATAATGACGATTAATTAATAATTAAGTCTCTTGTTGCCAAATGTGATAAATACATCAGTATTTTCATAGATTAAATCTTAACTCCATTTCATCATCAATAGTATAAAAGATGAAAATATAAGAACAGTGTGATCACTTTTGAATTTCATGCTACATGAAAGCTAAGCCACTCTAATTAATTTATTTAGAAAAGGTTATAAAGAGTCACACTTCAGCAAGTATACGCTTTACTGCTAGTTATCTTAAATTCTGTGCAAATGAATGGCCTATTTAACTACTAAAACAAAACAAAAAAACTATATCTAATTAACTTCCAAAAGAAGTTACGCACTGGTTATTTTAATTTAAACTTGAAGCCTTCATTTTTCGTCCATCCTTTGACATTTATTTTGTCATAAAATCAGTTCTTTTAGAATTTAAATTACATCATCGGTCGTAAATTTCTTCGGGCATCTGAATGTTTCGTTAGCAAAGGGTATGATTAATCGCAAAGATAATTTTGAATAAAATAATGTTCAAAGGTGAACGTCATCAGCCAATGGATGATTTGGGGAAACAATTATTAATTTGTAGCCGCCCTCTCCAACTCCACCAGACCAAATAGTGAGATATTCAGCCCTTTCTGTTGAATTTTCTTCATTTTTACAATATCTGATCTCTGTAAGAATATTATAAAATGGATGGTTTCTTGTAAGACTGGATTTCTTTGAAACCTCCCACAACAAACCTTGAATCATCATCCCATTATTTAAAGCTTAAAGCATATATAGCCTTCACTACATGATTATTAGATTTTAATTAACGCATAATATGACTTTATTCTTCCGTTAGGCCTAAATTTCAAGTTGTTCTTTACTTGGTCGCTGGCTCAGGGTAACGTATAAATAAGAGAGAATTATAATGAGGTACCAAAAAAAAAATAATTATAAAATAAATCTTAGATGTTTCATTTTCTATTCTGAAACTTGTTATTACAGACTGCTTAGGTTGTTATTAGAATTTTTTAATAATTATTTTTCTTTTTTAGGACCTTATTGTAATTCTCCCTATAAATATTTAATCTTTATGATAAAAATGAAATTATTGGAATGCATGACGAATTTTTGGTGTCTATTTTATGATTTATATTTTTATTCTGTTCTAATTATAGTTGTCTTATAATTCCCCCCCCCTTTTTTTGCTCATTCAAACTCTCGTAAAATCTAGCTTGTGATCCTTCTAATTTTTCTTTTTTTAGGAAAAATGTCTTTACCCCAAATTCATTTCAAAACCTAATGATACATAAAGATTGAATTTTGTTCAAATATGTACCCAATTATTTACATTTATTCATCAAATTCAAATAAAACAAGATATAGAATGTTGTAGACGAAAATACAAACGATCGAATGTAGCTGTCTATATATGACTCATATATATGGCCGCCATATGGGGCCTCCTGCTCCATTTTTTCTTCTACTTATATCTCGTTGTGAATTTATAATAATTAGTTTTTTAATGTAA